TGAAAGTCTGTGTTGCCCAGCGACAGCCCCAAAACATCACTGCTCTAGAGGAGATCTGCATGGAGGAATGGGCCAAAATACCAGCAACAGTGTGTGAAAAACTTGTGAAGACTTACAGAAAACATTTGACCTGTGTCATTGCCAACAAAGGGTATGTAACAAAGTATTGAGCAACTTTTGTTATTGACCAAATACTTATTTTCCACCATAATTTGCAAATAAATTAATAAAAAATCTTACAATGTCATTTTCTGGAATGTTTTTCTCATTTTGTCTGTCATAGTTGACGTGTACCTATGATGAAAATTACAGGCCTCTCTCATCTTTTTAAGTGGGAGAACATGCACAATTGGTGGCTGACTAAATACTTTTTTCCCCCACTGTAAGTATTTGATACATCAGAAAAACAGAACTTAATATTTGGTACAGAAACCTTTGTTTGCAATTACAGAGATCATACGTTTCCTGTAGGTCTTGACCAGGTTTGCACACACTGCAGCAGGGATTTTGGCCCACTCCTCCATACAGACCTTATCCAGATCCTTCAGGTTTCGGGGCTGTCGCTGGGCAAAACGGACTTTCAGCTCCCTCCAAATATTTTATATTGGGTTCAGGTCTGGAGACTGGCTAGGCCACTCCAGGACCTTGAGATGCTTCTCACGGAGCCACTCCTTAGTTGCCCTGGCTGTGTGTTTCGGGTCGTTGTCATGGTGGAAGACCTAGCCACAACCCATCTTCAATGCTCTTACTGAGGGAAGGAGGTTGTTGGCCAAGATCTCGCGATACATGGCCCCATCCATCCTCCCCTCAATACGGTGCAGTCGTCCTGTCCCCTTTGCAGAAAAGCATCCCCAAAGAATGATGTTTCCACCTCCATGCTTCACGGTTGGGATGGTGTTCTTGGGGTTGTACTCATCCTTCTTCTTCCTCCAAACACGGCGAGTGGAGTTTAGACCAAAAAGCTCTATTTTTGTCTCATCAGACCACATGACCTTCTCCCATTCCTCCACAGGATCATCCAGATGGTCATTGGCAAACTTCAGACGGGCCTGGACATGCGCTGGCTTGAGCAGGGGGACATTGCATGCGTTGCAGGATTTTAATCCATGACGGCGTAGTGTGTTACTAATGGTTTTCTTTGAGACTGTGGTCCCAGCTCTCTTCAGGTCATTGACCAGGTCCTGCCGTGTAGTTCTGGGCTGATCCCTCACCTTCCTCATGATCATTGATGCCCCACGAGATGAGATATTGCATGGAGCCCCAGACCGAGGGTGATTGACCGTCATCTTGAACATCTTCCATTTTCTAATAATTGCGCCAACAGTTGTTGCCTTCTTACCAAGCTGCTTGCCGATTGTCCTGTAGCCCATCCCAGCCTTGTGCAGGTCTACAATTTTATCCCTGATGTCCTTACACAGCTCTCTGGTCTTGGGCATTGTGGAGAGGTTGGAGTCTGTTTGATTGAGTGTGTGGACAGGTGTCTTTTATACAGGTAACGAGTTCAAACAGGTGCAGTTAATGAGTGGAGAACAGGAGGGCTTCTTAAAGAAAAACTAACAGGTCTGTGAGAGCCGGAATTCTTACTGGTTGGTAGGTGATCAAATACTTATGTCATGCAATAAAATGCAAATTAATTACTTAAAAATCATACAATGTGATTTTCTGGATTTTTGTTTTAGATTCCGTCTCACAGTTGAAGTGTACCTATGATAAAAATTACAGACCTCTACATGCTTTGTAAGTAGGAAAACCTGCAAAATCGGCAGTGTATCAAATACTTGTTCTCCCTACTGTATCACTTTAAAAACTGTCTCATAGCCATGTTGAGATATGAAGGACAAGCAGTGGATTATTTTATAAATCATTTTTATTCAATCAGTATTTACAGACCATTTTGTGTACTCACTCAGAGCTTCACAAACCCTGTTGATCCTCTACCTCCCCCTACTAGTTGGGTTGGTGCAGAAAGACTTTCAGAAATCCCTTACAGTATCCAGGTTTATCCTTTAGCATATACAGTTTACACAACCAAAACCTCATCACTAATATGACATCAAGTGAAAACTTTGGTCAGTGGGGAAGCAATGTAACCGAACACTCCAGATGAATGGTTCACAGGTAAGTGTCTACCAGTGTCCATTTTTGCACATTTCTATCTGAAGCAGTAACATGGCTGCTGAAGAGGGCTGTGTTCTTTGGAGTAGTGTAGTGATATTCCTCCATTCAAATACCATGGCATACTGAAGTGGCCAGAGACTGACCACCTGGCAGACTTGGACTGACGCTCATAGATTCCTTTCATTCCAAACATACAATTTGTTGAAGACATATCGGTGCAGCATTATCAGTTTTGAACGTAGGTGCCTACTCAGGCTTTATTATGAACATCACCTTTTTTTGCACTCAGTCCCTCCCTAAGATAGACTTCGACATTTAATTCAGTCTCTCATCAGCACCTGAGTTCCTACTTCAGGAAGTACATTAGACTAAATTAACATACAGTTGACAGATATGGAGGGGCGTTAAGGGTACAGCAGTACATTTATTCACCCCCCCCCTAATTCCTGCCAGAACCACCTCTACAGTTGAGTTTGAACTAACCAATATTTACAGGATGATTTAAAATGGTGTTTGATTAAAATACTGCTCTGACATCACTACCATCTCATCATACAAAAAGGCAGAAAATATTAAACAAAAAAAAAAAGGACCAAAATCCACCATTTGATCATCATTTGTCTTTTTGTTGTACTGTTTATTTTAATATTTTAAATAGAAATCAGGACAGTATGAGACACCGGAAAAAGCTCAATTTAAAAAAAGACAACCGTAAACAGAAGTTATCAGAAACTCAACTTCCACACATCACCCTCCATTAAAAACTAATGCAATGTACAGATTTGATCAACAATAATCAAAATAAAAACAAAAGCAGGTGAACACTGACCAAAAAAAACATGAGATGAGGGCTGTGGAGTAAGGGTGAATTGAATGGTATCTCTAGCATTATTGCTGGGTGAAGCTGGTAGCAGGTATAGTGCCTTCAGAAAGTATTCACACCCCTTTACTTTTTCTACATTTAAATAGATTATTTAGATTTGTCAGTTGTACTGAAGCTCAGTTGGAAGAATTGACAATACCCCATAATGTCAAATTGGAATAATGTTGAGAAATCTTTACAAATTAATAAAAAATGAAAGGCTGAAATGTTTTGAGTCAGTCAATAAGTATTCAACCCCTTTGTTATGGCAAGCCTAAATAAGTTCAGGAGTAGAAATTTGCTGAACAAGTCACATAGGTTGCATGGACTCACTGTGTGCAATAAGTGTTTAACATGATATTTGAATGACTACCTCATCTCTGTACCCCACATACAATTATCTGTGAGGTCCCGCAGTTGATCAGTGAATTTCAAACACAGATTCAACCAAAGATCAAGGTTTTCCAATGCCTTGCAAAGAATGCTACCCATTGGTAGATGGGGGAAGAAGAAAAAAAAAAGCAGACATTGAATATCCCTTTGAGCATGGTGAAGTTATTACACTTTGGATGGTTCTCAATACACCCAGTCACTACAAAGATAAAGACGTCCTTCCTAATTCAGTTCCCGGAGAGGAAGGAAACCGCTCAGGGATTTGACCATGAGGCCAATGGTGACTTTAAAACAGTAACTGAGTATAATAGCTGTGATAGGAGAAAACTGAGGATGGATCAACAACACTGTAGTTACTCCACAATACTAACCTAATTGACAGAGTGAAAAGGAAGCCTGTACAGAATAAAGATATCCCAAAACATGCATCCTGTTGGCAACAAGGCACTAAAGTAATACCGCAAAAAATGTGGGAAAGCAATTCACTTTTTGTCCTGAATAAAGTGTTGTTTGGGAAAAATCCAATACATTACTGAGTAGCATTCCCCATATTTTCAAGCATAGTGGTGGCTGCATCATGCTATGGGTATGCTTGTAATCGTTAACGTCTGGGGAGTTTTTTTTAGGATAAAAACATTTCTGGAATGGAGCTAAGAGGAAAACCTAGAGGAAAACCTGATTCAGCCTGCTTTCTCACCAGACACCGGGAGATTAATTCACCTTTCAGCAGGACAATAACCTAAAACACAAGGACAAATCTACACTGGAGTTGCTTACCAAGAAGACAGTGAATGCTCCTGAGTGGCCGAGTTACAGTTTTGACTTAAATCTACTTGAAAATCTATGGCAAGACCTGAAAATGGTTGTCTAGCGATGATCAACCAATGACAGAGCGTGAAGAATTTTGAAAATAATAAATGGGCAAATGTTGCACAACCCAGGTGTGGCAAGCTCTTGGAGACTTATCCAGAAAGACCCACAGCTGTAATCGCTGCCAAAGGTGCTTCTACAAAGTATTGACTCTGGGGTGTGAATAGTGATGTAAATTAGATATTTAATGCAATACATATGAAAAAACTTCTAAAAACATGTTTTCACTTTGTCATTATTGGGTATTGTGTAAACGGGCTAATTTTATTTAATTAATACATTTTGAATTCAGTCTAACAACAAAATGTGGAATACATAAAGTGGTAAGAATACTTTTGAAGGTACTGTACCACCATCCCTCATTTTTCTTTGCTCACTACTCTTCTGTCCTCTGTTAGGCATCCTTCTGCTCTCAGTATTTCCATATGGAAGTGTCCATGGCTGATGTCCAAATTAGCCGCATAGAAGCAAAAGCCCCATAAGTTTCCCATGACGAGAGAACTCCTTGGGCAACGTGGGTGTAGGGTGGGGTACTTAAAGGGATCATCACAGTAGGCAGAAGATGTCCTTATCACAGTGTTAAACAGTGGGGGTTGGGTGGAGAGGGGGAGAGAAAGCATGCGTCCCCTACAGGGCCTCTAATCCATCCCACACATTACCAGTAGGACCCATGAGAGGGGAGGACATTTGCATTCCGATTCACAGCTGATCCCACACCATGGAATTGGAGGAAATGGTTTTTAAAACCCTGCGATACCCCCTTTAAGAGGGAGCCCAGACATTTCATCTTCATCTCTCCCAATGGCAGGATTGCCCCTCCTCCACTTATCTGTTTTGGCAGAAGCCTTGAGTGCCGTCGGGGCCTGCTGGTTGGCGGACAGCATGATTGTTTGATCGGTCCTCTGGAGGTGTGGTAGAATTTGTACGCCCTGGTCTGGAGGTAGGGTGAAGACCAAGAACGGATATAGTCAACTACAAAAATAGGCTTTAGTCAATAGTTGGGCTTCCAAGTCGTTTTTAAATTTGCACAAAATAAATCTATTGTAAATTGGAAAGTTGTGACAAGATTCCCAGACTTTGTTCACTCAAATTTACAGAATCACAGAGATGATGGTGTCTGATCCAAACATGTACAGGTATACTTACAGTATACTTGGGATTAAGAGCTGTAACATAGCAGATGTGCAGTGGACACCACTTTGCCCAGCACTGTCCGGTGGTAACAGGTGTAGGTATGTGAGGTATTTATTTACCTGTCTGTGTTGGGCTTTTCCTGAGGCGACTCTTCAGGGCTGGCACTGCCCAGTATTCTCTTCCTGGCCTCAGCGTACTCCGCCTCCCGCTGGGCCAGGGACTTGACCTGTGGCGTGGGTCGGTTCTGGCCCTGGGGCGACCCTAACGACCCGTTACTGGAGGGCCGCTTCAGAATGCGGATTTGGGGCAGTGGCACTGCGTGTGGGGAGTCGTCCTGGATCATGATGGCCGTCTTCAATGGCGACTGTGTAGAGTTATTACTGGAAACTCTGGGAGCAAAACAACAAACCAGTAAAAATGCTTAGTGAGTGTGGGGTGGACAGGAGATGTTTTGAGTAATGTTAAGGTTATGAAATGCAAATGAATTTAGTTAAGTGACTATATCCAAAAAGTCTTGATTAATGAGTAACGTGTGAGTGCTTAGTGTGTCTTCCGAAGGCCAACAGTGTTTCAGCACTGAGCATTTCTTTACTCACGTCTCTTTCTGGCTGATCCTAAGCTTTCCTTCTAATCTTCTGTCCATTTCCTGCATTTAAGAGACAAAACAGAAAGATCGGTCATTAAAATGCAATTGTGCATTTTATACAGCATGCACCTTTTTAACATTAAGCCAAATGCAACTTGAAAGGGTTAACATTAGCAGGGGAAGTAATATTAGCAGGTAGAAAGGGGGAGTGGAGGGTGGCTGGAAACCATGGAGGGCTGGATTCAATTTCAAAGTTATTTATACACTGGCAGTGTGGCAGTAAAGCCATAACAAGGCTGAAATACAGGCTTGCTAGTAGCTGGTAAATTGACTTTGAATGTGGAAACACAATTGACACCATAACTCAGTTGGTAGAGCATATATTTGCAACGCCAGGGTTGTGGGTTCGATTCCCACGGGGGGCCAGTATGATTTTTTTTAAATAAATGTTTATGAAATATGCATTAATTCATAAATGATTGAAACACATAACTTAGGAGTTATTTAACGTTAGCCAGCTATCCAAGATGTCTGGATTTTAAAGTGTAGCTACCTAAAGCGTTTCAACAAGCTATTTTGGACATTCAGGGCAATCTTCCATTACATCAGGTCCAAGAGGACAGCTTTGTCTTGCTTTTCAGTTGTGGCAACATCATGCAAGTCATTAGCTAACGACGTTACTGGCTAGTTCAAACTAACCGGCGTTAGCTAACGTAATGTCATTAGCTAGCTAGGAGGCTGACGTAGCTAGTCTAATAATTTGAACATACCGATATCTGGTTAGCTAACGTTAACTGTGATTGGCTAACGACGTGGCGTTAACTAGCTATGTTAGATGAAACAGCTACGGTAGCTAGCCAGCTAGCTAACGTTAGCCACTGTCTTTAGCCATAGTTAGCTGGCTGGCTGAGCTACCTGTTGCCAAGGAAGGGACAACCGGTCGAAATACTAAACCTGTGGTGGTTGCTGACTGAATGGCTAGAAGCTCTGGTTAGCTAGCTAACTATGCTGGTTGCCTGCGCGAAGAGGCTAGCTAAATGTTGTGGTTCGACTGGGCTATCATTGCATTTCCTGTGTCAGTTCCCTAGCTCGAATTTAATATTAGCCAGTTAGCTATGTCTAATAATATCTGTCCCACTTCGTCTTTCATTTCTGGCGTAGCTTGCTTGCTAGCTAACTTTACTAGCGATCCTTGTTAGCCCAGCTAGCTAGTTAAGCGAACGTTGGTCATACCGACTGCCTAAACATTTGTCGTGTCAAGTGACCCTTTCCTCAGCAAAAAAAGCCAAAAATGCCTACTAACTCCCATAGATCTCCATTGTAGCATATTCTTACCCCACTGTTTGCTACTTCCTCACAACTTTGGGAAACTTCATCATCCATGTTGCATTCTTTCAGACACGCTGAAGAGTTTCGTTCCTGAGCACCCCAGATCCGCCCCTTATCCCACTCGCTGACATCACTTGTGAAAGAGGGCGCGCTGGTTTTACGAACGAACGCAGCCAGAGCTTCTTCTTCTTCTTCTTCTTCTTCAGGGGGGTTTATCGGCGGTTGGCATCCAACGTTATGGTGCATTACTGCCTCCTACTGTACTGGAGTGTGGGCCAGAGACAGGGAGAAACTAAATCCTACCTGCCAGTCCCATTGCTCTTAAAAAAGATAACAAAATAGTTGACACTATGTCTAATGAGGTTCTACTCAAAATGGGGGCGGCAGGTAGCTTAGTGGTTAAGAGCGTTGTGCCAGTAAACGAAAGGTCGTTGGTTCTAATCCCTGAGCTGACTAGGTGAAAAATCTGTCGATGTGCCCTTGAGCAAGGCACTTAACCCTACTTGCTCCTGAAAGTCGCTAAATGACTAAAATGTAAATGTATATATACTCTTTAAACTAATTTCCTGTATCCCCTTCTCCCTCATACTATATCTCATCCTTTCTCTTTCCCTCTGATACTGCCCACACCGTAGCAATACATGCTCCACGGTCTCTGCTTCCTGGCAATAATCACACTTTCCTGTTGGATGCTTCCTATCACATTTAAGCTCTTATTCAACTGGCTGTGTCCCACCCTTAATCTTGTAAAAATTGCCTCCTCTCTTCTGTCCCTTCCTGCCGTCCTCCCCTCCCCGACTTTCCTCTGTACTTGAAATAAATGCCTGCCCGTCGTATCCCAAGTGGCGCAGCGGTCTAAGGCACTGCATCTCAGTGCTAGAGCTGTCACTACAGACCGTGGTTAGATTCCTGGCTGTATCACAATCCGGCCGTGATTGGGAGTCCCATAGGACGGCACAATTGGCCCAGCGGTTTGGCCGGGGTAGGCCGTCATTGTAAATAAGAATTTGTTCTTAACTGACTTACCTAGTTTAAAAAAAAATAAAACATCTATTTTCCACTGCTCCTACCATCACTGTCCATATCAGGCTTTTTCCCTCTGCCTTGCTCATTGAAACTACAACATCAACATCCCCACTACTAAGTGCTCATTTAGCCAGTACATCAACTGCCTCGTTCCCCTCCACCCCCACATTGGATGGGACCCAAGTAAATCTTATCTGTATAGCCATCTGTCTAATCCTGCCATGAGTTTGTAGCACCTCATAAAGCAGGTCTTGTCTGCTACGTGAGCTAAAGGACTGGAGACTCATTAACACTGCACATGAATCAGAGCAAATAACTACTCTGTCTGGCTTGACTTCCTCCACCCACTGCAAGGCCAACAGTATGGCCATCAGCTCCGCCGTATATACAGCCAGATGATCTGTACTATGTTTCCTGACTTCCATCCCACATTCCTGCACGTCAAATGCTGAACCAGTACGTCCTGTCCTTGGATCTTTTGAACCATCTGTGTAAATGGTCACAAAATCCTGATACACAGTATCCAGACGTCTCTTAAACAAATCAGATGGATCAACACTCTCCCTATCTTTCTGTAGTCTATCCAACACTTCTAGATCAACTACTGGAGGCGGGAGTAGCCATGGTGGATTTACAGGAATAGCTACCGTTGGCCTAAACTCCCTTCCATACAGTCCCATCTCCTTCACCTGAGTATTACCCACCCACCCAAAGCTTGTGTTCTATCTTCACTCATGTTCCCAGCATGCCTGTAAAATCATTTTTGCAGGATGAGACACCCCATGTCCATGTAGGTTGACCCAATAATTAATTGCCAGCTGCTGTCTCCTAATCTGCAATGGCATATCCCCCATCTCCACCTGTAATGCAGCCACTGGGGACGTCCGAAACGCCCCACTACATATTCGGAGTCCTTGCCCCTGTATGACATCTAGCCTTTCCAGTGAGGTCCGGGCTGCCGAACCATATGCTATACTGCCATAGTCTATTACAGATCGGATCAATGCAACATGGTCCTCAATGAGTAACGCCCAGCCCCCCACTCCTTCCCCGTCAGACAGCGCACCACATTTAGCACCTTCTTACACTTCCCACCACTCTCTCAATGTGTTCTGCCCAGGTCATTCTAGTGTCAAAGTATACCCGAAGGAACCTGAAGGCCCCCACCCTCTCCAAGTTTCTCCCATATAACCTCAAGCATACCTTATCCCCCACCTTCCTCCTGGTAAAGAACACTGTCTGAGTTTTCTCTACAGAGAACCTGAATCCCCACATTAATGCCCACCGCTCTACCTCATCAATTGCTTCCTGTACCTTCCTGACTATGTATGGCACATTTCTTCCCCTCTTCCATAAGGCGCCATCATCTGCAAATAACGACCTCCCAATATCCGGCTGTACCTGAGAGTCAACATAATTGATCATGATTGAGAACAACAGAAGACTAATCACGCTCCCCTGTGGTGTACTGTTATCCCACCAGGTAGCTGCCTGATAAAGACAAACCCACCCTCACCTGGATAGACCTTCAAAACAGGAAATCCTTTATCCAGTTGTACGTTCTTCCTCCTACCCCCATAATATCAATGCAAATAGTCTGGGTAGCCATTTGATTAGATGTTCAGGAGTCTTATGGCTTGGGGGTAGAAGCTGTTTAGAAGCCCCTTGGACGTAGACTTGGCACTCCGGTACCGCTTGCCGTGTGGTAGCAGAGAGAACAGTCTATGACTAGGGTGGCTGGAGTCTTTGACCATTTTTAGGGCCTTCCTCTGACACCGCCTGGTATAGAGGTCCTGGATGGCAGGAAGCTTGGCCCCAGTGATGTACTGGGCCGTACGCTCTACCCTCTGTAGTGCCTTGCGGTCGGAGGCCGAGCAGTTGCCATACCAGGCAGTGATGCAACCAGTCAGGATGCTCTCGATGGTGCAGCTGTAGAACCTTTTGAGGATCTGAGGACCCATGCCAAATCTTTTCAGTCTCCTTAGGTTTTGTCGTACCCTCTTCCCGACTGTCTTGGTGTGCTTGGACCATGTTAGTTTGGTGGTGATGTGGACACCAAGGAGCTTGAAGCTCTCAACCTGCTCAACTACAGCCCCGTCGATGAGAATGGGGGCATGCTCGGTCCTCTTCTTTTTCCTGTAGTCCACAATCATCTCCTTTGTCTTGATCACGTTGAGGGAGAGGTTGTTGTCCTGGCACCACATGGCCAGGTATTTGTATTTTGTATTTATTATGGATCCCCACTCTTCCTGGGGTCCAGCAAAATTAAGGCAGTTCATACAATTTTAAAAACATTACAATACATTCACAGATTTCACAACACACTGTGTGCCCTTAGGCCCCTACTCCACCACTACCACCTATCTACAGTACAAAATCCACGTGTACGTGTGTGTATAGTGCGTATGTTATCGTGTGTGTGTATGCATGTGTCTGTGCCTATATTTGTGTTGCTTCACAGTCCCCGCTCTTCCATAAGGTGTTTTTTAATCTGTTTACTACTTGCATCAGTTACTTGATGTGGAATAGAGTTCCATGTAGTCATGGCTCTATGTAGTACTGTGCACCTCCCATAGTCTGTTCTGGACTTGGGGACTGTGAAGAGCCCTCTGGTGGCATGTCTTTTGGGGTATGCAATGGTAGTTCAAACAGACAGTTCGGTGCATTCAACATGTCAATACCTCTCATAAATACAAGTAGTGATG